GATCTGTCCCTATCCCATTTACCCTTTCCTGTTAGGCAGACACAAGCCCGAGCTCACTATAATTCACGTTTTCTGTTGAACATCTTAAATTCTTAGAACCTTGTGGGTGTAAAACTTTGAAATGATTTTCGATTTTACAACTGAGGAAGTCTCCAGTCAGTATGAAAACATATTTGATTATTACCCGTTTAACTAATTTGTGCTTTAAAACATATATTACCACTCCCCATTGTTATTACAATGAGAAACAGAGCAACATAAGAAAGGTTATGAGCACAAGGAGGCTATTCCACCTATCTAGCCTGTTTGATTGCTGGTATGTAGATAATTGTTTGAGGATCCCATCCAGATATTTCTTGAAAGTAGCCAGGCTGTCAGTTTCAACAACATGGTTGGGTTGCTTGCTCCATAGTTACACAATCTCATATCATTCATTTAAATAACAAAGGAGTGTATAACTGTACATAATACAAAGTCCTAAAAATACAGGATATGGCAAAATCTGACATCTGAATTTACTTGACAAGCTTAATGTAGAGAAGTATTTGAAATTGACAACCTGGCCATGTAATTACCTGAACGGGAATCTGAATGTCAGCTTAGTCACAGTGTACCCTTCATTCCAAAAGTTCTTTATGACCAATTGAAAACAAATTTCTCGTAAACAAACACATGAATTCTGATTTTCCCTTAATTGACAAGAGACTCCAAGACCTTCAGAGGAGTGGGGTTGTTGTCTCGAACCTGGGTACTTTGAGAGACACGGAAGAGGAGGAGAAGAGAGAAGCCCGAGAGAGGGAGCTGAGAGAGAAGGTTGCTCGGCAGGTGGGAGATTTAAGAGAGAGCAGCAGTCACCTCTGCCATTAAGCTTGAATTTAGCAGTTTTTCATAGGTGGCTCTTGGCTGTTTTCAATGGATGAAATATGAAAATCACTACTAAAGGTTGTTTCACCTTCTAGAAGAGTGAGTGGAAGAAGAAAATGAAGGAGATGCAGAACATACACCTGCTGGAGAAAGGAGAGGTAACCAGATCGTTATTTGTAGACAGATTTTTTGTTTTGTGTCAGTGTATCAGGTAGGTTGAGAAGAAGGCTAAACAACCTGGGCAACTAATGTTACCAAAATGGGCAATAAATAATAATAGCTTACACTTATATAGCGCTTCTGGACACTCCACTCAAAGTGCTTTACAGGTAATGGGGGACTCCCCTCCACCACCACCAATGTGCAGCATCCACCCAGATGATGTCACAGTGCACCAGAACACTCACCACACATATTAGCTATTAGTGGGGAGGAGAACAGAGTGATGGGGATTATTAGGAGGCCAAAGGGAAATTTGGCCTGGGGTTACACCCCTACTCCTTTTCAAGAAACACCCTGGGATTTTTAAAGACCGCAGAGTCAGGCCCTTGGTTTTTCATCTCTTCCGAAGGACAGAGCCTGTTTTACAGTATATTGTCCCTGTCACTATACTGGGGCATTAGGGCCCACATAGACCGCAGGGTTAGCACCCCCTGCTGGCCCCACTAACACCTCTTCCAGCAGCAACCTTCCCAGGAAGTCTCCCATCCAGGTACTGACCAGGCTCACCCATGCTTAGCTTCAGTGGGTTGCCAGTAGTGAGCTGCTGGCTGGAAAAAGATGAATCAGTTGTCTCAGATGCTCTTC